CTTATCTTCTGCAGTGAAAGGTTAGATTGGATGGATCTGTTTATAAGGTTTTATTAAAATTAGGTTTACACATACAAGGGTAAAATTTGGTTTTCCCTTTTGAAGAAAATTTTCATATAGTAGTAAGAAGAGAAAGTAAAGGTTTTTGTTTACCCTTTGAGTAATCAAAAAGAAAAAAGGGGAAAGATAAAGAGACAGACTCCTCTCAGACAAAGAGTAAAAGCTTCTGCTTTTTGAAACCTTTGGATTATTACTTTGGCTAAATGAATATTATTTTACAGTGACCTTTGATCCTATTTTGAAATCAAATGTTTTAAACCTTTCATATTTGACAAAATTCCCAAAACTAAATTTCAAATTCTAAATTAAATTTTTTTCAACTTAAACTAACTTTTGGACATTAGGTTCCCGGGAAATCAAAATAGGGCGCCTGGAAGTTCAAGAGAAGCATATTAGGCTTATCTGGTATGTTGAAATCATACAGGAAGCATTTTCAAATAAGAAGTGGTGCTTAACTTTCTTTGGGTTATATTTGTATGGATATGTGAGTAGTACGTGTTCCAAAATTGTATGAGATTCCTAATGTGATATGTATTGGTATCAGCAATAAATTGCTTTATTCTGATGCCTTTTTTTCTAAAAGCTCTTTGTAAATCCTAAAATGTTGTGTCTTTAAGGAATTCATGGAAAAGACCATGACAAGTACTGTTGAATACAGGTTTCTCATAATTTTGGAGATCCTACCATTGGACAAGGTAAAAACTTCCAGAACCCAAAAAAAACCCTGATGGGTTCATGAAGATTGCTAACCCGACCTCAAGTATTAATAGAACAAAAGTTAATTACATGCTAATTACATAGTAAAAAATAACTGATAGAAGTGAAATAATCTTTTATAACTTCTTTCTGTTTCAAACATTGCTGATTCTTTTTTATGTTTTGTTTTCTAAAACATAAAAGTTTTCAGAGTCAAGAAAACTTTTTTTTTATCTTTTGAGCTATTTGTAGCTTGCAGCAATTGCATAAAGTATACTTCTTTAAGCAAATTGAGACATTTATTTTATCTCTATTTGATTTCTCCAGAATTGAGAAACTATTCATTAAGTATGTTCATTTTATGGCAATATAGTTACTTGCATAAGAATCCATTTTCTTTTTGTAACAGGACACACTGGAAACACATTATTTTTCCAGGGCTTTGACTGGAATGGCATATTCTCACATATGACCAGACTGCTTTGAGGGTCTGCAGTTGACTTTATAAAGCCAAGAGACTTGGGAAAATACTAGTCTGGTACCTTGTCTATGTGGTTCCCCCACAAGCTTCCTGACCTTGTGTTAAGTAAAGAATGCCCCTTTCTGACAGGCCGAGGAACCTCACGATAGTTTGAGACCTTAAGAAGAGAGAAATGCACTCAGTTGAGACAGATATTGCAGGCTCAGTCTGAGAGTCTGTCTTTGACTTGGCTTCCTAGCCTTGAGAGGATTTTAAAGCTCTTATCTGAAATTTCTTATGAAAACCTTTCAGCAAAGCCACTACTTATACGGCCACTCCTCTTGCTGCAATTTATGTGGACAACCAGGACAAGTACAAGAAGTCTAAAACTCATTTTACAAATAAATTAGCTTTACTACGATGTATCTTTGGTAAAATTGGATGGACTGGTCTGTTTCAATAGCACACCTGTCACTGGATTCTAGCCCTCACCAGTGTTTTTCAGTTTTTATTATTTACCTACAATTTGGACTGAATCCTGAATTATTTCCTGGCTGAAAGTCTCTAAAGAACAACGAGGATTAAATTCTCTTCATGCTGTTCTTAGTCGGCTCCCTGATGGAACAGGTTTTCTTTTTGTTCTGGCATACAAATTCCCTGTGTGATCATAATCATTGTGTGTGTTATATTTCTACTATTTGAATTATTGAGGATATCGATCTCTCATGTTCTGCTTCGTCCAAGAAAAATAAAATCATGGTACTCTGAAGACTAGAGATGGTTCGACAAGCAACAGCAGCTACGCAGATCAGTGACTTGACGGAGGTCTCGTTTGTGCCACTCCGTGGTGCCATCCCAGCTCAGCTTTTAGGACTCTTAAAATCCCTCACGGAGACACCTTCTCCTTCCCCCAGACATGGGACAGGACTATCCGGGAATGAGCCTTCCCAGTGACAAGGGGCAGCTCGACAACACTCGGGCTTTGAACATCAATGCCTTCAAGAGAAAAGATTTTTTTTTTAGGCTGGGCACAGTGGCCCATGCCGGCAATCGCGTCACTATGGGAGGCCAAAGTGGAAGGATCGCTTGAGCTCAGGAGTTTAAGGCTACAGTGAGCTATGATCCTGCCACTGCACTCCAGCCTGGGTGACAGAGTGAGACAGTGTCTCAAAAAGAAAGGAAAGAAATAAAGAAACACAGACAGACAAGAGAAAATACTTTTGATCAGAAGAGGGAAATGAAAAAGAAAAGAAACATTGTATCTGAGGAATGTGAACCCCCTTTAATTATCAGGCCCAGAGAGGCACTGAAATGCAACAGCAGTCAGAGCTCACTCTCCCTTGAGTGAAATGATTACCTCTTGAAGCTACTTGCTATGTGTGCTCTAGACTAACTAGGCCAAGTAGCTATAAAATGCCATACACTGGACACCCTAACTCATACCCTAGAGTCCAGGGATCCCCAACCTATGGGGCCTATATAATTACTTAATTATATATTACAATGTAATAACAATAGAAATAAAGTGCACAATAAATGTAATGCCCTTGAATCACCCCAAAACCATCCCCCAACTCCCTGGTCCATGGAAAAATTGTCTTCCATGAAAATGGTCCCTGGTGCCAAAAAGGTTGGGGACCGCTGCGGGACTTCAACAATGTACTGCCAATATCTAACCAGTATCATTTCTGTAAACCTGGGAGAATTCCATCAAACAACTTTGTACGAGCCTGTTCCTTGTACCACCCCTTCAAAATGTGCACAGCAAAGGCCAAGCAGAGCACCCCCAGTAAGCTGGAAATGTGTCTCAGGCAGCTGTCCTCAGCCTCGGCCCAGATAAATTCTCTGTATTAATTCTGTCCCAGTTTCTTTCTTTAGGTTGACAATAGCGGAGAGACAGAAAGAAAAGTCCCTCCTAATCAACAGCTAGACTGGGGGCCTGGCTGCGCGTTCGCTCTGACAGGAGCGTGTGGTGTCTGCTGCCCCTGTCTCTCCGAACTGTGGAAGTAAGTGAGAGTCTGTGCAAATCCCAGTTCTGCAGCCTGTCTCATTTTGCTTAAAACGAAGGCACTGCTAGATGTTTTGCTTGTTTTGCTGGCAGTTTCAGCCTCAGAAGGAAGGAGACACAAGAAGAACAACTACTTGAGGTCTCAGAGTGAGGAACGAGGACGGCGGGTTTTCCCGTGAGCAGGTGCCGTGCGGAGCAAGGACAAAGGTGAATGCAGTCCCAGCAGACTCATCTCAACGACTCCAGGACAGCAACAACGACAACATTCACAGAGGGATAGAAAATTCAGACACAAAATTCTGACTCTGTAATTTCACGCAACCCTGACAGGAGAGGAAAAGAAAGGAAAGGAGGTCAGGAGAGGAGGGCGAAGGGAGGGAAAGGTCAGAGTCCAACAGATCTTACACAGAGATGCACGCTGAGGGCAGACCTTCTACAGCACACAAGTTGCATGGGAAAAAGCACACATAATCGGTAATAAATGTCAGAGAATCACAAAACCATTATCGAAGCATCGGAAAGGTAAGGAAAAAATGAGCTGAGATTTGTGCGAAACTCTGAAAGGCAGGACGTCTGTGCCAGCTCCCCGCGCTGAGCCGACAGCACCTTCCTTCCCTCTGGCTCTCCCAGTGCGCTCTCCCCTTCCCGGCTCGGCGTCACACGGACCTGGGTCTGAGCCTGGGACCCGGGCAGGTGACTGTCCTTCTCTGAGCTCTGGCATCCTCATCAGCAAACCTGGGGCGAATCACTTCCAACAGCACAGCCTCCACCACAGCTCCTGAAGGCCAGGAGATGGGCGCCCAGCCTGGGCACAGGCGTGTGAAGTAGGCAGTGGTGCCAGAAGGTTCGTGGACAAACGGGAGTTCCTGCTCCTCACGCCTCTGCTGAGTCCATACGGATGGAGGACACTTCCAAATCGATCTAATGTGTTAAAGCCTAACATTTATTGGAATAGTTTTTTTTTTTTAGTGTCATTTATTAGGATGAAAAAAATATCATATATTAGTAAAATATATACTTGTTAAACAAATATATTAGGGATATAGAGCATTTTCTTTTCTTGGTAGTTAGAAGACACTTATGGTTTTGAGAATCTCATGACTAATTATAAAAATCTTCATTTTTATTCTGTGTTCTATGACTTTAAATTACTCGGCAACATTGTATCCAAAACCTGATTTTGAGATGTGTTGAATAAAGACCAAAAAGGTCAATAAAATTAACTTATTATGTGGCATTCCCTGATCATAGAGGGAGGACCAAAGAACATCTAAAAATCACTAGCAAATGGGCCAATTTGCCAACTTTTCTCCTCAAAGTAGCCTTATGTCTAGCTCCTCAAGGCTTTATACGTCTAGTAAGTTTTGAAGCTGCAGTTCATTTACAGCGATACTGGCTGTTTTACTGAAACTTAACCGTAAGGTGCATTCACTCATTCGTCCATCCGAATGACAGTTACTGAGTGTCAAGCATGTGCGCGGTTCTGTGTCAGCACCAGGCTGACGGGCTCACAGCCCTGCCTGCCAGGAGCCAGGGCTTTGCGTTCTGCAGTTGAGGCAAACACGCTCAAACGCTACCGACGCGTAACCGACTCGCGGATCAGGCACAGAAGCCCAGTCAGTCATCTGAGTGATGCTGAAAAGCTCCCTTTTACCCGAAGAAATCGATATTCCTAAATACAATTATTTTAGAAAAATTCCAAGAGAGGTTGAATACAAATATCTCATGAAATTATTTTTACATGACACCAAAACACACGTGCATTTCATCCATTACCTTACTAGTGCTTCTTTTATTCACTTTGAAAAATCCCAGAAATTTTTTCTTCTCTTTATCCGTCTCATCATTGCCAAGTGATGATTTTCTGAAAGTGTCTGGAAGAAAAAAGTATTAAGTTATTTTTCAGCATTTGAAACAAGTGATGAAGTACTTCGCCTTAAAAATCTTAATAAAAGAATCTTTTGCTCTTAAACTTCTAGTTCTTGTAAGAGAGGAAAACCATCGACTATTTCTTTCAAAGGTTTTGAGCCACCTGAAAACCCTCAGGCCCAGTTAGGAAGTCACTGCAGCTCTCACACAGACTTGCAGGGATTATGGCGGCATTTTCTCTGGGTGTGGTTGTGCCCTTCTGGAGAATGAAGAAACGATCAGTCAGTTAAAGTTTCAGAGCAGCACTGTGCAATAGAAAGCTAAAGAGAATTGCAGATGCAACTGTTCATTCTCTAGCAGTGGCATTAAAAAGAACCAGATGAAATTAATTTAATGATAATTTCATTTAATCCAATATATCTAAAACATTATTCTATCATGTAATCAACATGAAAGTTACTGACGAGAAATTTTACACTGGTTTTGGTGCTGGGCCTTCAAATCCAGCGTGCACCTTTCAGGCTCACAGCACATCTCAGCTTGGACTGGCCACATGTGGCCCGTGGCAGCCGGATCAGACAGCACAGTTCTAAGGACTGTGACATCAAGGCAAAAGATCTGCTTTAAGACTAATGAGTAAGGTGCAAACACTAAATAAATAAAATAAATCGGCAACCTTCCTCCTCATTTCCAGAACATGGAATAACAGCAATGGCTACTGGGTGGTATCTGAAATAATCAAATCCGATCTCCCAGGAACGACATTTCCAGATTTGCATTCCTCGACTGCATCCAGACTGTTTTCCTTTTTAATTACATTCTCTAGTGGGGCACGCTTTCTTTTCTTTCTTTCTTTCTTTTTTTTTCTAAATCCTCAACCTCCCTTTCTTGGTGTTTCCTTCTTCAGGATTTTAGAGGCAAGAGGGGCCCTCTCCGGTTGGAACAAGGACACTGAACCCAGACTGGTCCGGTAGCTGACAAGACAGCCAGGGCTGTGGTTCCCAAAGCAAGATGGAACCCGCAGCATCAGCATCACAGAACTTGAGAGATGCGAATCCTTGGGCCCCTCCGCATCTGCAGCCAGAAGCCCTGGGGGCAGGCCTGGTGCTGTGCGGGTTAATGAGCCCCCAGGGATGCTCGGGCTGAGGGTTTGGCGAACGCACTTGGGAAGCGGTGGCGGGAGCTCACGAGCACAAATGTGCGGGGCATCCTTGGGCAAGCGCTTGGCCTCGCTGAGCCTCAGTGCTTTCACTGCAGACGGGGGAGACTGTGCTAGCACCAGGGACAGTGCTCAGAGCCCGTGCACACGGCTGCAGCACGACTGCCATGTCCTGCATTTACTGGCTCTCGAAGGCCACTCCAGGCCTTTACCAGTAATTCACTCAATTCTTCTCTTCCAAGGCAGACGGACATGACAAAAGGGGAAAAATGTGAGTGTTCCTAGAGGATAGAAAGATGATTTTTTTACATGTCACCTGCAACTGCTGGGGAGCCAGGCCTCCATTCAACTGGTGGGAAACTCCCAGGCTGGGATTTTACAAACTCTGCCATCAGAATATCAACCCAAACGAGGTGAGCATCAATTAACTTCTTCATCTGCTGATATCATTTCATATTTGAGTTACAGAACATAAAAGTCAGTCACTGGCAACATATGCATGAACACTAACAGTGTCCATCCAGCAAGGAAAAATCCAGCACACATGTTCCTAAACCATTCTGTAGGGGCGAAGGCTCCCGTTGCAGCCCCAGGGCCAGGGCTCTCAATGACATGCAAGAGGCTCCAGCAGAGGAGAGCAGAGAGCCCCACCTCACACAGCATCCAACCCAGAGGACACACCTCAAAATGATGCAGCTGCACAGACACGTGTGCACATGCATTTCAAAGTTAGTCAGACCAAAACCCTCTGTTAGGTGTGGAGCTATAAAGAGTAAAATATACCAGACCATAGAATAAAATTTTCAACTATAGTACATGTTCATATGTATACTTATAACCTGTAATGTTTTCGGAATTGAGTGGTATGTGACATGGATATAACAAGAGACAGAGCATGTTTACTGGTACACAAGCTATATTCCATTGACCATAAAAACGATAAACTGAGACTCTTATTCTGGTCGCCACCCCTATAGCACTGAGGATGGCCCCAGCAATGAAGGCTTAGGGACAGCCCTGGCACCAGAACTGACCCCTGATAGCAGCAGAGACATTTCCCATGCAGCCACAGCCTGCAGGTGTCTGCAGACAGCAGGAGCCCACGACTCACAGCTCTGAGGGGGCCTAAAGCAGAAGGCCTATTTTGAAACATAAGCCTTTGCCGCCGACTGATAGGGGCCTCAAGGCCCCTGAGGTTTGACAGAAGAATTGCTTTGAGAACAAAGTATTAATAAGGTGACTCAGTGTTGGCATCAGCCAAAATCTCCCCAGGACACCTGGCTATGCAGTCAGAGCAGCAGTAAGCAGCGGCTACACAGCCAGGCCTACAGGACACACACGGCTGAGATCTAGAATCCCCAATTCCAGGTGTATGGTGGGTTGAGCATGACATTTATCTTGTGTTAATTTACTCCGATTTACAAGAAATTAAATTAATAAAAGTTTGGGGGTTCACAGCTGTATTAGGAAGGGAGCACTGTTTCAAAGCTTGTAAAGGTGAACCGAGGGGTGCACAGGGTAGAGAAGGATGGAGGAACCCTTACAGGTCTGCTAGTTCAAACCACTCATTTGCCCAGAAGAGGAAACTGAAAATAAGAGGAAACTGAAAATAAGAGCAATTCAGTGAGCAGAACAAGGTCCCGAGCAAGTAAATGGAAGAGGAGGACCAAGTCAGCACTTGCAAATGCATGACGGGGACATTCTCACGATAGGCAGGTTTTCAAGTTCCAGTCCCGTGATGAGACTGCAAGTGCACAAGGCATAAAGGAATGACTGAAATTCACTTTCGCCCCCATTCTCAGCCATACCCCCCAATAAAATCACCAGAACCGACAAAGCCTTCGTTTATGTGTGTTTCTGCTCAAAATGACTACCGTTCCGTGCTGTTTCTCAAGAGATGCTTATCTTTTCACTGCTCGTCCGCAAGAGGGAGCAGATCAACAGCAGACAAGGAGAGCTGAGGGTGGCCCGGCCACAGCACGCCCAGAAACCCCACCCGCAGACTGTCCACACCAATGCTGAGGTTTCTTTCATTAAATGCTTTTTTCTGGAAATAAAATCTATTGTTAAATATTTAACAAACATGGACAAAACTTTCTGAAGTCTCAAACCAATCCCAATGAGTCTAAAGTACAAAGACTCATAGGAATTTTTTCTTTCTTTTTCTTTTTTATTTCAGCATATTATGGGGGTACAGATGTTTAGGTTACGTATGTTGCCCTTGCCCCCCTCCCTTAGTCCGAGTTTCAAATATGTCCATTCTTCGGGTGGTGCGCATTGCACTCTTTGTGTGTGCATATACCTGTCCCCTCCTCCCCGCCCAACATCCAATAGATGTTATTCTTATATGTGCATTTATGTGTTGATCAGTTAATACCAATTTGATGGTGAGTACATGTGGTGCTTGTCTTTCCATTC